AGGGTAAGAAAACATCAACGGAGAGCTGCCCATCCAAGCATCCTTCCAAAATCTAGTGTTTGAGCCATCACCAAGCTTACGGATAAAACCATCATCAAAACACCCAAAAGCTCTATAACAATCCCTGCCAACAGATAAGATATCCTTCCAAAAGGGAGAGAGGCTCGGAGAGACAGTGTTAGAAATAGAAGTAGAAGAAACTCCATCATAATATTTTCTAACAATAATTTTTTTTTCATAATTTCTCATTTCCTTCAGCATCATAAAAATTATTCCACCATTTTCCTAGTAAAGCAGAATTCCTAATAGAAAGGTTTGGGATGCCAAGCCCTCCCTTTGATTTCGCAAGGCAAACTCTCCCCCAATTAACCCAAGCAATCTTATTATAGTCATTTGAACTCCCCCACAAAAAGTTTTTTTGTATTTTCTCTAACTCACTAACAACACCCTTAGGGACCCTAAAAATAGAAAAGTAAAAAAGAGGGAGAGCCGAAAGTACCGACGTGAGGAGTGTGATGCATCCTCCAAATGATAAGAGCTTTCCCTTCCAAGTTGCCAACTTAGACTGGAACTTCTCAACCACTGGTTTCCAGAATCTGAGATGATGAGGGTTGCCACCAACAGGGAGTCCCAAGTAAAGGAAGGGCAGGTGCCCACACTTTGAATAAAATAAAGATTTAACAATTACTTGATTTATTTATAATTAATTACTCTTTAAATGAAATTTTTTATTTAATTTATATTATAATTAATTTTTTAAAATAAAAGTGATACACATTAAATGATATTTTAAAATTAAATTTAAATATTTCAAATTAAAAATTAAATTTATTAAAATTGAACGAAGTAATTGAATATAAGGAGACTTGATTTTTGGCTGTCCACTCAACCGGGATCATGGGGAAGAGGGCATAGTTCATCAATTCCTCATATGGCTGGCACCAGCAGAGGACGCAGTTAAGGTTATCACTGAAGCAGCGACACCAAGAGGTCAACAAGTGGTAGTGAAGCTGGGAGCAATGGTACAGGTAGAGTTCTAGGTGCTGGCCAACGGGTCCAAAATTTGCATTACACACCTGCATGGGGAGCTTTTAGCTATTGACTCCGGAGAACAGTTGGGCAAGGAGTTTGGGTGTCCCGAGACCATTCTTGAGTCTAACCGTAGGCAGGCAGCTGGGCGATGATTGTTTTCTGTCTTGTGGGGCTATAGTCAACGATAGCAGAATGCGTGTCGTAGATTTTACCTCGTGAACGTTCCATTATGTGAGTATGAATATCAACGTTTTAGCTTATAGATTAGCCCATTTATTATCCTCCATGGGAAGGATTGTGGTATGGCACCGTGCCATCTATCCTTCGTTTTTATTAATATGGTCTTATGATGGACCATACAAGAAGGATTAACTCTCCCTTTTTCTTAAATTTATCCCAATTCCATTCAAAATTTAAATTTGAAAATTTTAACTAAAAATTTTAGACTTTTAATCAGATAAGTGAGGGTGGCCATCTGCCCTTTGTACTGATCTTCTCTAAGCAAGGGGGTGGCCATCTGCCCGTTGTGCCGATGATCTTCTTTAAGCAATAAGAAATTTCTACTTTATTCAATTAAAAAAAAAAAGAGAAAAAGAAAAATGAAAAAGGTAAAGACAATAGATTTTCCATTAAGTTCAAATGCCAGACAACTATGGTGTGGAATTAAGCCAAACATGGCAATCAGTATACAACAGGTAAAGTTATGGAGGAAGCAAATATTTTATAAACCCAAAAGGTGTAGGGGTTACAGATTTCATATCTTGTAAATGGGTGTGATTCCAAGGAGATAAAAGCACTTCCGCATAACAACAGCTGTTGCTTCACACAATAAGAGTCTACTTGTTTCTTCTTCTGATCCAACAACCTGCCATTTTATCAAATACACACAATAAGAGTTCACATCGGACAGCGCACATAAATCTCTCCAGTAAAAGGTTTAAGGGTAGTTAATTCTGAATACATTGTGTAAAGGGCAGACAATAAAATTAGCATTTTAAGTTCTATTATCAAGAAGCATAAATTTGATGACAGTTCATACCTTGCATTGTTGATAAAATGTTGAGAATTTTTCTGATAGATTATAGAGGTATTCGCACAAGACATTTGGCAATAAATTCATGCAGGCCTCCTCAACAACCTGAAATTAAAGAACAAATTCATTGGGCATTACCCATAAAAATGGGGACCTGAGTTAATCAAACTGAAATAAACAGGTTCAAGAAGCAGGAACCTAGTGGTTATTACCTCAGCAAATTGCAGCAAATGAAGCCCCAAGACACGCTCATCAACATGGTCCAATACCAGTGTCCCCGTCTGTTTCAAATAAAAGAATAGAAGAAACAAAAGTTTGGACATTCAATCAGATTTGGAAGAGATATACAAGGTTTCACAGGTCCAGTACACCAGTGTTACCCAGTTGCCTTTATATCCTCCCACTAAGATTAAAGTATCACAAGTTGACTTGTTGCCATAAAAATGAAAATATAGTTCTAAAGTTCATACATTGACATTACTCTAGTCCTAGTCTCTCAAACCTAAAGTTGGTATTGGGGAGGGGGAACAAGCAAAAAGCTAGCGAGCAACATAATCTACTTGTCAAATTCAGAGTTATACCTCCATCATCTAAATATCCAGAATATAGGTAACAAAAAAATAAGAGCAATTCAGCTGCAGAACATAAATTGCACAAACACAAAATAGAAGTTTCCAGTATGCAAGAACTTCAAACAGAGTGACTTACTTTCTTCAATTCTTCAATGTCTTTACCAGATTTCCTGATGATTGAGCAGATTCGAGCATGAGCATAAAGTAAATAAACAGCAGTGTTGCCCTGTTTATAAAAGTTTGAGAAGATAAGAATAATGATTGCTGTCATGATACAACAGAATCATATCACATTTGGTATAAGAAGCAAACAGTAAATATGAAGAAACAGTCTATGCGATGATACAAATCAGAAGAAATAATCAGTTTATGTCAATTAAAAGCTGATATACGAGATAAATACAGTTTGACAAGCTTCATGATATCCACAATCCAAAAGCAAGCAAATGGTTTATGCACCTTATCATTGAGCATCTGATCATAATTAAATGTGTAATTGGTCAATCTGTTATTCTTCAAGTCGGCGTATCTGTGACAAGAAATTAAAGAAATATACATATCAGAAAAAATACCACAATTCAAATGAAAAAGAACCGTTGCACCTGGGAAAATAATTTAGAAGAAAAAGATGAATGCAGCAATGTAAAAGCAAAACTCTTAAACACAATTCTTAAAGTAAACAACATCTGCAAACAAATCAGAGCTAAAGTACCAACAACAATAATGACAACATCTTTAGATGCAAAGTTCATTACACAATAGCATAGATGTCTTACTTGACAGCACCATAACCAACTGCCTCAGCAGTTTGCTCAATATCCTCCTCAGTCCATTCCTGACCCTTACCTGCCCAATACACAATTATAGAGATGCTACATTAATGTAACTTCTATGAGAATAAGACAGGTGAGATAAAAGTTAAAAGCTTAAAGGATAGATAAGGACTAACCAACTGAGCAACCTATGTATTTAATTATTTATTAACAAAATTACACAGTTAGGCCAGGCAACAACATTAGGGAAAGGGTACACAACATCAAATTTCAATCGATACCATGTCAAATACTTTCAACTTAATGAACTTTAACATCAATCCGAAGAGGTCAAGACTTGAAAAACTTAAATATTTTATTAATTAATTAACTAAAGAAAGGTTTACTAGCATAAGCATACCACGGTCAATAAGTTCCTTTTTACTGCGAGCTTTGGCTTCATCGAGTAAATCAACTAATCGAACTACTTCAGAGCTTCGAGTCCTAAAGCGCTTGCCATCGTCTCCAAGAACAAGGCCAAAACCAACATGACTAGCTTTAGGGTATGAGCGATCCACAACTGGTAGCCAACCTGCACGTTGGGCAGCCTTGAAAAGAAAAAAAAACAACAATCTTATGTTATGGCTCCAATTGCAAGCTCGGAAATAGTTAAATAGTTGTATCTAAATGTATAACAGATAATATACATATTTTATTAATAAAGGTTTCTAAAAGGAAATTCAAGAAAGAATACAGGAAAATGACTCTTGAGACATACTTTGAACACCATAGCAAAATGCTGCTGCTGCCCAACGTCAGTAACATATATAATCCACTCAGCTCTCTCTTCATTTAATCGGTACCTAAAAATTTACAAATGACAGTCAGAGGAAATTAGATTAAAATCCCCATTCCAACACCACAATGTTCAATCTCAAAAAAGATGGAACAGTACAATTCTTTGTCACAAATATAACACGTTCAGTTTGAGCAAGGATGCACACACAAAGGATGAAAGAATAAATAATGTGTAAACAAACAATACAAGCTGCAAATATATATGTCATAACAGCCCAACAAACATAGCCTTCCACAGAAACGGTATACTGTCAATGTGGTTTATGTTTGTTCTTACCAATGCTTAACCAGATGTAAAGGTTTCCTATTATCTTGCATTTTTATTGTGAGCCACAACATCAATTAAAAAGAGATTCAAACTGTTTTTTATTCTAAATTTTCCTTTAGCATCAAAGATCATTAATTCAATGTTAATATAATTTTATAAAGTGAAAACTCTAGTGGATCACTTCATCTATGTTAATTTTAGAACCACTAGAATGCATCTTAAGTTGCAAGACTCCGGATCCAGCAAGCCTACACAATATAACCCACAGTGAGGTTTATACAGCACAACTTCTCCTCAAGGTACACTTGTCATGATAACTAAAGGGGTTAAGATGAAATTGGAAAAAGCTTGATTCCACTTACGACATGAAAAAGTTTAAAAGCTTATTTTTATGAAAACAAAATCACATGCAAAGCAGGGACTGGAAAAACACAAGATCAGCACTAAGGGACTGCAAAATTAAATCTAGGGAGCAATATATTCAAAACTATTTCAGAGAGAATACTGACCAAATAGCAGTCATATCAGTTGATGCATAGTTGTAACCACCATCACTCTTCACAACAATAAGAGGAATATTAAAACCGTCAATAAAAATGACCTGGCAACCCTGACTCTCTTCAACTAGTCCTTGTTCAGTTAAAGCCTTAAGCACCCCAGGAATGTATGGATTATAAAAGCTTTCTCCCTGTTGACAAGGAAATACATAACATTAACAATACATGAAAAAAATTAAATCTCATATACAAAACTAAATCTTAAAAGTTCACATTCAGTGTAATTGGAATATAGTATCCACCTTGCATTCAAGCAAAATAATTCTTCAATTATCACATTTTAGCAGAAGGACATGTATCATTTCATTTTAATGATATCCTCCTACATATATGTGCATTTCATAAAGATTGCATGCAATCAAATAAGCAAAACGTATACTGTCAATTAACAGAAAACTACAAGCAGAGAGAATTCACAGTATCCCATGGCACACAAAATCATGCACGTTGTTAATTAAAAAAAATAAAAAAAGGTATACTGCATGGATGTGGTACTCATGTAAAGTTATCAAACTTAGTGTCTGCCTATAGGTAGAATTTCATGCTAATAATCTACCTTTTCTTCTAGGTGAACTCCAAGCCGTTGATAAACCCTTTGAAACTCATTCCGGCTAATTTCACATATCTGTGCCCATGCCCTGCGATACCTGTCTTCCCCACCCTGTATGTCAATTGAGCATTGGTGAATTATGCAAGGTGAAGTATCAAGAAAAGAAAAATGCATTCATGAAATATCATAAAAGCAGAGAAATCAAATTAACGAGTTTTAAACTAGGCAGAGAAATAATTCACCTGAAGGCGAACCACTGCCCTTTGGGCCCTCTCCTTAAAGTCAGGATCAGCATCAAATCTCTGCTTTGATTCTTTATAGAATGCCTAATGAAGTGCCGACTAAGTTAGGATTAGAGTAATCATGTTGAAGGGAAAATAGTCAGTTTATCTTTCATTAAAGTGTGTAACAACTATCCACAATATGATTATGAAAAATGAATTTACAATCACCCACCTGCAGATCCCCAATAGCTTTTTCATTGACATCTTCATAGTTAGGAAACTTTTCAAAGAGGAACTCAATCAGCATACCAAACTGCAAAACACAAAGGAAAAATCTTGAAGTTTTATGTCACCAATGGAACAATGTGGGGGAAAGGCTAATATTGGGTATCTATTCTTATTTTTCAGAAGTTTCCAGGCAACAAGTAAAAACAACTTTATTTAAATAATAATAATAATAATAATAATAATAAAAGGTTTCAGCCACAATCTATACAAATTGTGAAACAATGGAAATACAAGCTTCTTATGATCTCATCAAAGACAAACATAACATCATCAATGCCATCTAAACATGGCTCAAGAATATTTACCTGTGTCCCCCAATCACCAACATGGTTCCGTCGAAGCACCTCAACCTTCGAAAATTCAAGCATGCGAGCAAGTGAATCACCAATAATAGTAGACCTTAAGTGGCCAACATGCATTTCTTTTGCAATATTTGGAGAGGAAAAGTCAACCACAGCCCTTTTGATCGAAAGCTTTGGTGCCCATGAGTCAATACCATCAATAAGCATCTTTTGAATGCTCTGATGATGCAATAAAACAGAAAACGTATTTTATAAGATCATTGCAAGAGTAGCTACAAAATAGATATGAATATGTGAAATTATGACCCTGAGCAGAATCAAGCTCAGAACAAAATTACTTAAACAAGTTTGCAACTTAAATAAAACTTCTAAGCAAATAAACCACCTTAGCCATCCAATTCTTTGATAATACAACATTTACAAATCCAGGTCCTGCAATGGAGCAAGATTCTATCATCTCAGATGGAGGAAGATTGTTCTTAATTGCCTGCAAAGCAAAAACAAAAAAAAAAAGAATAAACAATATGAAACTATCAATTGAAAGCATAAAAGTTATTTAACATAAATGTTAATCTCATCACCTCTCCTACTGCAGGAGGCCCCCGAAACTGTGTTCGTTTCCCCTTAATTTTGGCCCACAAGCTCATCGCATTGTTACTGTACCAACCAAAGCAATTTATGGCTTAACAATGAGGAAAGCTGATTCTAAGAAAGGGGAAGAATTATACAACTCAACATCAATCACACGTGACTTCTGGTAAAAAATGGAGTAAACTATCCCAGGCAAGCAACACACCATTGGTAATCACCAAATTTGGCAGTGCAAGCAGCTACAAGAGGCTCTACATCTGGCTCTTCAGGAGCAGTCAGCTTAAGCGATAACCCAAACAGTTTTGCCAACTGTGCCTTCACATTGCCAGTAAATTCCTCGTCCTATGATGTAACATCCAAAAATCAAATTGAATTAAACAAGCTAAGAAAATATCCCCAAAACTTACAAAATGCAATATCAACAGAAACATATTCACAAATTTCATATGTTTTCATTCCATTCAACTTACAGTTACCATGGGTGATCCTGACTGCATCCTTGTTGCGAAAGCAGGACTACTAGACGTCAGCTTCAATGAATCTGGCTAGTTTCAGAATCACCAAAAGTAAATCAACAACGCTCGAAGAACTTGCTTAAACAAACAAACAAAACTTAAAGAACTGATCTACTAAACTTTGAAGAGAATTGGAGAGATCCTGTTCCATTTTAACACCTTCCTTAATGCAACGTAACAGGACATTCTGAGCACAATACAAAACGAAAATTGAAATTCAGGATCTGTTTGATTGCCAAAAACAAAAGGACTAAAAGACCCCCCCAAAAAAATGTATAACAGAAACAGCAATAAATCACTCCAGCCACTCAAAAATCCGAACAAAAAAAAAAGTGGTGATTGCTTCAATTTAACTAAACTTAAATTTCTAAAAAAATTAAACAAATATTAATGGAAATCAAGTTTTCCACAAATAAAAGAAACCTAACTTAACATCGAACAAAACATTCGTAAAATTTTGAGTTGGAAACAAGAGGTACTGATTCTCCACAGCATTCTTTTGCTGAATCTAACAACTGAAAACCAAACAGGAAGGGACATGCAAAGCGAAGAGAATCTTTGAGTGCGGAAATTTAAAGCAGCAACATGGATACGCAATGATAAGAGAGAAAAGGAAGGTTAGGGCTCACCGGCGGAAGCAAAAATGGAAGGAGAACAGGCGCAGCGGAAGTGAGGTTGGCGATTGAATGACAGAAATGAAAGAGGAGGCGCCGGCGGGATTCGGAGGTTTAAGGGCGCCAGCATCTTATATATGGAGACCCAATAAGGCCTAAACCCTTGCTTTGCTGTACCTGACCCGCCCCGTGCTCCCTACGATGCTTTAATTTTTGGGGGTTTTTTTTTTTAAATAAATAAAAAGAAAAATAAAAAATATGCCCTCTTTCATATATGTGGTTTTTAATTTGGCCAAAAAAAAAATATTTGTGTGGTTTTTAAATTTACCCAATTAGATCGAGTCGGTCGACAATGGGTGGGACCATGGACGCCTGAGAAAAATCACGGGGGTGCGTAATTTATTTTTGGAAGGCTTTTTAAGAGTACAATTACTTGAGGAAATATTTTATTTTTGAAAAAATTATTGCTTTAATAAAAACTTTTCTTTGTTTGGATTAGCTAAAAAATTATTTATGAAAAAACATTTATTATTATTTAGTTCATATTAGAAAATTTTAAATATAAACAACCTTCATAAACATTGTACATGAAAAATGAAAAATTAGATTTTCTTAAACATTAAATATAAAGAAAAACTTTTACATAAAACATTGAATAGGAAGAAGAAATTTCCCAAACATTGTGATGAAAAATCATGGCAAAATGCAGCCACGTCTGTTGAAAATAATAATAAAAAAAAAGGATGCAGCTACGTGGGTACTGTTTAGGAATAAAAGATGCTAGATTCCTCTTGATATATGGCATATATTCATAGAAGAAGAATTACCTGATATGGCATATATTCATAGAATTTAAAGAAAAGAAGAATTACCTTTAGGTAGAATATCTTTTGATATGGCATATATGTAAGAGTTTT